ACGCAAGGCCCTCAACAGCCGCAACACACGGCAGCTCGTCATCCTCCACAGAGCAGTTGGAGTCGTCGTTCGCGAAGGCGTTCGTATAACCATCGTGGTGGCGGTGGTGGTGGCGGTGGTGATGGTGGGCGCTGTCACCCGTGTTGTTGTTGTTGCTGTTGTTCTTGTGGTTGTTGTTGTTGTTGTTGCCACTGATGTGTGATGCGGATGAGGGAGGCGACATTGTTGTTGCAGTTGTTGTCGTCGTGTCTGTGGTGTTGGTCTGCGGCGAGGAAGGATCCACGCGCTCATGCACATGCGTCTGTCCGCCTTTCTGCTGGTGTAGGGAGTGGTGCGGGTGACGAGCGTGCCTATGACAAGGGGGCGGGGAGACGTGTGTGTGTGTGTGTTGAACCAAAGACGATGCGCGAGGAAGTGGGCGTGAGGGTGTGAATGTGAGAATGTGCCACCAGCACTGCGATGGCGTGTGTTGAAATTGGCAAGAAATAGCAGTTGAACAGGAACACACACATACACACACATGCATACACGCACACACACACTCACACACGCACACGCACACATACGCACGACAAATACACGTCACCTACAGCATTGTGAGCTCTTGTGCAAGCTCGTCCAATTTGCTGACGCGCAGCGAACACAAATGTTGCGCAAGCTCCTACATGCACAGCAAGAATACCGACAGACGTTGGTATGTGTGTGTGTATGTGTGTGTGTGTATGTGTGTGTGTGTATGTGTGTGTGTGTGGGACGGAGATGAATAAGAACTTGAGACTTGTGTGCGTGGTGTGATCTCATCAATGCAAGTCTGGCATGTGCACGTACGCAGACACAATACTGTGACACACACACAGGCTTAACCAACACGGCCAACATCGCTGTGTTGTGCGTACCACGTTGCGTCGGGAGCGGAGCCACGAATGCATGAGCGACAATGCGTCGACAATCACAGCCACCATGGCGCTAGCCTGTGAACTAAAACTGTCAACCAGCATGCTCTGGAGCGTGATGTGTGTGTGTGTGTGTGTGTGTGTGTGTCAGTGTGTGTCAGTGCGTGAGGGAGATGTGTAAGACAAAGGTGTATCAAGTTGGATGTATGTGTCCGTACTCGGAGGCAACCATAAACTGTCAAACACACACGCACGCACACAAAACACACCACCACCTCTCCCTCCCTCTATGCACTCACAGCGCAGTGGCGGTACGACGTGACGGCGACGTTTGGCGTCTTGGCCATCATCGTGTTCTCGGTCCGCAGTTTTGTGTTTGCCGCCAACGCCTCCACCAGCCGCCGCTCCAGCCAGGACGTGTAGTTAGACTGCAACGGAAGAGAGTTGCAGAGGCGTGTGTTTGAGCACGTGAGGGTCAGCGTCCGGAAAAGGAAACACACAAACACACACACACACACACGCACACACACACACACACACACACACAAACACACACACGCATGATCGCCCACCTCTGGTGCGTGCGGGGTCGGCTTGCGTGTCTGGACGGCGGAAACTTGCTGGAGCGCATCGGTCACATCGGACATAATGTCCTCCTGCAGGCGCCACATGGTCGTCTTGATCTTGTCTTGGACAATGCGCACAATCTGCTTCGACTCGTCCTCACGCTCACGTGCGCTCTGAGACACGCGCTGATGTGTGTGTGTGTGTGTGACAAGAGACAAGTGAGGGCAAATGGTGAGCGGAGTAGCATGAACACACACACAGATTACGTTGGCGTCCACACAACAGACATCAGCTTTTCCACCACACACCTACACGCATGCACACACACACACACACAAACACACAAGCGCACCTCGATGTTCTGTTCAATGGATCGCAGCACGTGTTCGATGCCGCCAAACACACGCGCACCCATTCCTCCAGCAGCTGCTGTTGCTGTTGTTGTTGTTGCAGATGGTGGTGATGCTGCAAGCATGCGCGACACAGCAAAGAGGGGGTTGGCGCGGCGTTCGCTATACCTGCTGCTGCTGTGGGTGGTGCCTCTTCTGTGGTGCATCTTAGTTTCACCACCGTCACCGCTGTCATCATCACGGCCATCATCGTCACCGTCGCCACCATCACCGTTCATCCCCATTTTGAATTTCCCGGCGCGACTTCGAGACGAGCGAAGGCGTGGCGCGTGTGCATCATGTGCGCGTGCATATGTGCCGGCGAGTTTGGCGGGAACGGCCTCATATCGCAGCTGCACCTCTTCAAGCACCTGCAGCTGGTGATCAACAAACGCCTGGCGAGGGTTATTGTGGGGGAGGGAGAGGAGATGTTCGTGTGAGTAACAGTGTAAGGTGATGTGATGCGGGCAAGAAAGAGCAGCCGCAATATCAGCAGCAGCAGCCGCAATATCAGCAGCAGCAGCAGCAGCAGATACCACCGCTGAGGTGGAACACAATCGTTCGTGGACCCACCCCGTGCTCCTTGTTCATGGCGAGAATGTGGCCTTGCAGCTCGTGCAGGTACTTGTCATCCGGGTAACGAAGGTGAGCAGCAGCTGTGTACGAGCGCCGTGTGTGTGTGTGTGTGTGTGTGTGTGTGTGTGTGTGTGTGTGTGTGTGTGTGTGTGTGTGTGTGTGTGTAAACGTTTATGTGAGCGATGTGAGTGCTGATCAAATCCTTTCAAATAGCATTGCGCTCGTGTTGGTACGGGAGAGCGTGCGAGTGTTTGAAAAGAAACGGGTTTCGCAGTCACAGCATCATCACCAACATTAGATAACCCCCACCCACAACATCACCACCACCACCCACCGCGCTGCTGTGCCGAGTCAAAGTCCATGAGGCGGGAGAGGTACTTGAAGCGCGCGCATGACGACGGCAGCGGGGTGCGGTCGTTCGCATCTCCGCTCGCGTCGGAATCGCCAAAGCCGTCGTGGTCGTCGTCGTCTCCACTGGCGCCGCTCGGCGGGCGGTGCAGCGCAGCCCGCACCTGTGGCGGTGGTGGCGTGAGGAAGTGGAGGGCAAGAGGGAAGGTCGAAGTGGTGTTCATGGGAAGGAGGAGGACGAAGAGTATGGGAGTTGCTTGATGACTCGCGTCTCAATGAAAAAACACCAACGCAATGTGTGCAAGCCATCACTCACTTGGTTCTCAAGGCGGGACAGGCGATCGTCGGACATTGAATCCGTCTGTAAAGGACACAGACACACACGCACGGACACACATGTGCGCACACACACACACGCAGACGCAGGAGGCGTGAGTTCTGTGTGAGTTTCAGGTGTATGTGTTAACGACTTGCATAGACTCACTTTGTGCAAGTTGTCAAACAGTTACAAAGGACTGGGGGGATGACGTGCCTGTGTTGATGTGTCTGTGAGGGGTGGACGCACGGGCCGGTTCGCCAGCTGCGATTTGAGGTGTTCAACTTCATCCTGATGCTTCTGGCGAAGAACTGTTGGCAGACAGAAAAGGATCATGGGCTTGAGCGTGCTTGCACGGGTTGCTTGCTGCAAGCCCGAGTAGACACACACACACACACACATACAACACGAAACAAAATTGGGATATTGTCATACCCAAGAGCTGGTCCTCAAACTGCTGCACCGTCTCTTGAACGTTTCGCTTCACCTACAACAGTCAATGATAACGGTGATGGTGATGATGATGGCTATGGTGATGATGGTTATGCTGGTGCGAGCAAAGGCAAGAGGTGTGCGCATGTGTCAAGACGCGCACATGACAAGGAGCACACGCATAGACACGCAAACAGACCAAACAAAAAGGAGACTAACAACCCCGAAAGCACACACGTGCACACATGCGAGCGATCGAACAACTGCTTGCACATGCACACACGCACACGCGCACTCAAACGCAGGTACCTTTGCAAGCATCTCGTTGCTTGAGTTGAGCTGTCTGCACGTGTCCTCATGCGATTCCTCTTCGATGCGCAGCCGCTCCTGCAGCTCCCGCTGGTGGTGTTGGTGGTCATGTGGTGGTGTGGTGGTAGTGGTGATGGGGGGGGGGAGGTCAGTCACAAACAACTGTTCATGCATTGGCAACAACTCTTCGAGATGCAGCTGCACAGACACAGACACACACACACACACACACACACAGACACACACAGACACACACACACACACAGACACACACACACAAAGGTTCACTGAAGAAACCCCACCACACAACCCTCCCCTCTGGGTGCGTACCACGGAGAGCTGTGTTTGCGCGTGTGTGTGACGCTTCTCCAGCTGCCAATTCGCTCGTTCGCGCTGCAAGTCTGTGATGTGATCGCGAAGGCGTTCAATCTCTTCGTCTCGATTGCACACCGCCAACTTCAGGCTCTGCACTCGCACGCACGCGGGCAGTTGGGGTGAGGTTTAAACATGGGGTGATGTGGTGTGTGACGGCGCGTTGGGTGTTGTGAGACAGAAAGTTTGAATGTGTGCTGCACGTGTGCGTGTGAATGTGGACGTGAAGGTGAGTTGGGTGCATGCCAGTCGCAACGTTGACTGACGCACCTCAATGTGCGCAGTCTGGGATTCACTCGTTTGCAGATGGTGATCCGCGCGCCTGTTTGCGGCTTCGAGCTACCAATTCCAAGAGGGTGTGTGTGAGTGTGTGTGAGTGTGTGTGTGTGTGTGTGCGTGTGTTTGCAGCAGTGACAAGAATACAGCGTATCGCTTCGTGTTGTATGCTGAGTGGGCGATCACTACAAGGTCCGCCCCCGCTCACCTTATCCTGCAGCTCAGTCGCGTTGTTCGCGAGCTCGTCCACAGCTTGCCTGTCGAACAAGAACAAGTCGTGAGGGTATCAGCGACGCGTACACGCACACACATGGACTACTTCAAGATAGGTAAGCATGCGTACAAGCACAATCGAAGATTTACGCAACAGATGCACACATCACACGTGCAGACACACACACACACACACACACACACAAGCACGGTCATGCATCCAAACGTACTTGAGAGACTCGTTCTCGGACCGCAAGACCGTGCACACGTTCGACAAGTTTTCTGTCGAATCACGGAGCTCGCGTAAAGACGCCAGCTCTTGGCTCGTTCTGGATGCAAAGAACGGCAAGCAGCAATCCCACGTGAGTCGTGCAATACCGGTAAGAGCACACACACACACACACACACACTAACGCATGTACGTACGCGCACAGGAACTAACGCATATTCACGCACATGCACGCATGCACGTACGCGCGCACATTCGCTTGCCCACTCTGTTCCGTTCCCTGTGCCCTTTGTTGACAACTCACTGGTTGAGCTGCAACTGCAGCTGGTCGACTTCGAGGCGATGCACGCGCTGCAGCTCGTGGTACTCGGCCTGCGCATGGTGCTGACTGCTCTGCAGCCGGAGCAGCGATTGCTCAAGCGTGCGAATGCGTTCATCCTTGCTCTCCAGGAGCTTTCATGGATGCGACAGGTTGAGCAGTGGTGAGCTGCATGATCCTGCATCATGCGACAAAGATGCAACATGATGCATGATGCGACCGCACCACCAGAGTGGACGCACACTTCCGCGCACGCGGTGCGTTTACACGCACACGCACAAGCACAAGCACGAGCACGAGCACGAGCAAACACACACACACACACAATCACAGTGGACTGACTTCAAGGATGCGCTGAGCCTCGTCTTCATTCATGTTGTCTGGCGACGACGCCCGTCAGCACACGAAGCTGTTTCCAGACAAGTGCACACTCACAGCGAGCTGATGGCTGTGATTCCATGCGAGAGATGGAAGCCAACGCAACAGCAGCAGCGGACCGTGTCGGGTGCGCCAAACAAACACACTCTGTCGTCGCTGTGTTGTGGTGGTTGTGGAATGCGCGTCGCCTGGCACTGTGCGCGACGGTGACAGTTCCGGTGCCAAATTTGAGCAAAGTTTGGGCGATTTGCCACCACGTTCCCAAAAGTCGAGGGATGACTGCGCTGTGGAAGGTGACGATGTTGATGATGATGTTGATGTTGCTTGATGATGATGATGTTGATGATGTGCGTGTGTTGGGAGCAGCTCCATGAGCGTGTGGGTGTTGTGTGTGAGAGCTAGCACACGGTGGCTTCTTGACTGCCAACCACGGGAAAGCAGCAAAGCAGCCGAAGCAGCCGAAGCAGCGGAGCAGATGAAGCTTGCTTGCACCTTCCCCAAACACACACAAACCCACAAACACGACACGACACCCAGAAATGGAGATAGCAATGTGGGATAAATGGCCATATTTTCCAATATTATTCGGCAATCCAAGGCAACAACGCACAACGTGCCTCAAGCAAGCTGACGACGACGACGATGAGCAGCGAGGATGCGAGGGAAGGCTGCGTGTGCGAGCCAGAGGAGATGGCCAGCTCGCTCTTCACGCAGACGACAGCGTCGTGTTGTGGTGGCAGTGGAAATCAGGGAGGCTGTTGCCAGAAGGAGTCCCAGCCAGCGGAGCAACCATCAACAACACAGCCTGCGCCTGCATCAACGGAGATGACGGTCGTCAAAGCCAGCGCCCCCAAGAAGGTCGTCCGCGGAAAAGGTGCGTGGTGCGTGTAAATGGTGGTGCATGTGTGCGTGTGTGTGTGCCGCTGTAGTGTGCGTGCAAATGGTGGTGCATGTGTGCTTGTGTGTGCCGCTGTAGCTCACGATCGGTGTCTTGCACACGGTGATGCTGATGGTGTCGCGCATAGGACGGCGAGTGGCGGTGCAGCAGCAGGTGCCAGACGACATCCTGCACAATGACGAACTGAACCGTGCCATCGCACAGGTATGTGCATGTGTATGTGTGTGTGTGTATGTGTGTGAATTTGACGTCCGTATTGCTGTATGTCGTTCGATTGTGATTCGTAAGTGCTGCGATTGCCCGTACAGTGCCCATGTGAGCTGACGAACACCTTCGTCCGCGTGTTGTGATGTGATGTGGCGCTGTTGCATTGTTGGCAGCTTCCAAGCAACTACAACTTTGAACTCCACAAGACCATCTGGAGGCTGCGACAGAAGAACGCAAAGCGAGGTGGGCTTCATGGCGCGTGTGTCATCAGACACAACTGCTTCATGCTGTCACGATCACCCCTGGTTTCAGAAATATGCTCTGACCGCGTACCTCGGCTGTGTTTGTGTGTTTGCCTGTTAAACAGTCGCATTGCAGTTCCCAGAGGGGCTTCTTCTCTTTGCCTGCCCCATCTCCGACATCCTGCAAAGGTGAATTGACCGTGTGATTGCGTTTGGGAGGGCGAGCACCTGTGTATTGAATGTGTGTGTGTATGTGTGTGTGTGTGTGTGTGTGTCTGTGTGTGTGTGTGTCTGTGTGTGCGCATGCACTTTGTTTGTACGCTTTTGTTTGTGCACGTGTGTTTGGATGCTTTGTGTGTGTGGACTACACTTCCTCACGAGCTGCGGCGTACATGCTGTCATGTGTACAGGTTTGCACACGTCGAGACGATGATCATGGGCGACGTCACATATGGCGCCTGCTGCGTGGACGACTATTCGGTATGTGTGTGTGTGTGTGTGTGTTGCAGTTCACTGCGTGTGTGAAAGCTGTGGTTGCGATGAAATGCACGACGATCCAGTGCTTCCACATGGTGTGCATGGAACGTGCCTACTCATTGCTCACATGTACACAATCTCCTTCCTGTTCGTCTGTGCGTGTTTGCGGACGCAACTGCTGAGCAGGCGCGTGCACTTGGCGCAGACTTTCTTGTTCATTACGGCCACAGCTGCCTGATTCCAACGACCAAAACCACCATTGAGATGCTCTATGTCTTCGTCGACATTCAGATTGATATTAAGCACTTTGTCGAAACAGTCAAGTGAGTTGCAAGTGACAGACGATGAGAATGTCATGGCGCGCGCGCGCGTGTGTGCTTGCGTGTGTGTGTGTGTGTGTGTGTGTGTGTGTGTGTGTGTGTGTGTGTGTGTGTGTGTGTGTGTGTGTGTGTGTGTGTGTGTGTGTGTGTGTGTGCTTTTGCGTGCTTGTGTGTGCTTGCTTTAACCTTCTGTCCTCCAAGTTTCGCCTCACATTTTTGCGCCTGTCTGTGTCTCCAGATTTTCCCGGCGAAGTTGGAGCTGATGTATGACGTCGACGCGTGGGTACAGGTTGGTTGCAATGCAGTGCTGCTGTTCATGCTGGCTTGTCGTTGAGGTGGCTTCCTGAAGCTGTATCGTAAACCTCGAGCACACACACACACACATGCACATGCACACAGCCACACGAACATTCATGCAACACATCAAACTCACACACACACACACGGACATTCACACACGGACATTCACATAACCATCCTGCACCCCGTTTTCCCCACCACAGATTGCGTGTCCGCGGCTGTCGATTGACTGGGGCACGGCGTTCAAGAAACCGCTCCTGACGCCGTACGAGGCATCTGTCGTCCTCTCCACCATCGAGTGGCAGCCAGACTACCCCATGGACTTTTACGCATCAAAGGACAGGTTGGTTTGTGTGTGTGTGTGTGTGTGTGTGTGTGTGTGTGTGTGTGTGTGTGTGTGTGTGTGTGTGTGTGCGTGTGTGTGCTCTACGTGTGTGTGTGTGTGTGTGTGTGTGTGTGTGTGTGTGTGTGTGTGTGTGTGTGTGTGTGTGTGAACATGCGCTGTCGTGCGCTGTGTTTGGTCCCTCATCCATCTCACGACACTCCGAATCTCCATCCGTCTACCGCAGTCTTGGTCCGTGGACGCCCAACAACCCCGCACACAAGCCCGCGCGCAAACCACGCACCGCCCGAGCTGCAAAGAAGAAGTGACGCTTCGATTCACTTGTGTGTGTGTGTGTGTGTGTGTGTGTGTGTGTGTGTGTGTGTGTGTGTGTGTGTGCGTGCGTGTGTGTGTGAATGTATTCATGCGCCTCACTATGTCAGCCTGTCAGTCTCTTCAGCTCGCCTTCTTTGTGTGCGTGCGTGTTTGCATTGCGTGTCTAGCTGCCTAGGTTTCCCTCCTTCTGTCTCTCTCTCTCTCTTTCCCTTTCCCCGATTGCTCTTCTTAATGAATGCGGCGTTTGCTTGTGGCAAGCACACGCACCCGTGAGCAGCAACAAACACTTTCATCACGAACCCAATTTCACCGTGCAAGACCTATTCACTGTATTGGCTAAGCGAGAAACGGAAGCAAACAGGCGAAGAGGGGAAACGCGGAAGGGCACATACCACAGAACTCCAAACACACACGCACACACACACACACACACAGAAGAATGTTTACACAAAGCTGTCCGAGCCTTTGTCGTCCTGGGAAAGAGAAGGGGAGAAGGGGAGAGGGAATGGAGGTGAGACATGACAACACAGATGGGCAGTCATGCAGAGCAGACGTTCCAACACAACACAAAACACCTTCACGCACACGCACGACACAACACAGTGTTATACAACACCCCCCCCCCACAACAGCACCACACAATCCCAAGTCGTCCTACCGAGTCGTCAAACGGGTGGAAGGCGTCGAGGTCTGGTGGCAACAGCTCCTCCCCAATGCTCTCTGATCTCGTCGCAGCGCGCGGTGAAAACGGGTTCGTCTCGTCCTCAGCCCAGTCCACGTGAACACCATCACCATCACCATCACCATCACCATCATCATCGTCGTTGCTGCTGTCGTCGTTGTTCCCGTTGTTGTTTCCTTCCGCTGCAATTTCCAGGTACTCTCCAAACACCTTCTTGCCTGCAGGCACACGTCTGCTTGGTGTCGTGTCAGCATCAGCAAACGTGGGGGTAAACGCGGCGGAATCGCTTTGGCCGCGCGCCTTTGCACCACCAGCATCACCCACAGGCGTCGTCGTCGCAGTCATCGCAGCTGCTGGTGTTGACGCTGCTGTTGCCGGCCGCGACGCTGTGGATGGCGACCTTGCACCAGCGGGCGTGGTGATGGTCGTGCTCGTTGCGTGTCGTGGCGTTGAGACCGTTGACGGCAGGGCGGAGGCCGGGGCAGAGGCGTTGCGGACCACAGATCCGCCGCTGCTGGCCATGAGCTGCGCGCACTCGCGGGAACCGGACTGCTTTGCGTAATACGCGGCCGTGCGCCCCTCTGCACTCGTCTCCTGCGGGTCGCATCCAGCCTGGCAATGGTGGTGGAGTTGGTGGTGGAGTTGGTGGTGGAGTGGGTGGTGGAGTTGGTGGTGGAGTTTGTGAGGTTGGAGCGGGACGCAGTGCATTCACGGTCATTCCAAATTCATGTGCTGTAAGTGCCAGTCACAGAGAAGTTGAGTGGAAGCGTGCGTGTGTGAGGAAACTTACCCAGAGCAGCATCTGTGCCCACGTTGCTGATCCGAGCTTGCAGGCATGATGTAAGAGCGTCAGGCCGTCAATTTGCACATGCACATCCTCCGGTTTGAAATTTGCGAGCGCGAGCACACCGCGCGGCCACGTGTCGTTGCGCATCGCAGACAGCAGGACCTGCGGGAGGGTGAATGTGAGAACGTGGGAATGCACGTGTACATGAGTGTGTGTACATGAGTGTGATTAGAGCATGTACTGTGCTCAGCAGTGGCGTTCGCTCATCAACCACGACTGGAACTCCACGCCGTCAAAAACGGTACTGCAAACTACGATCAATGTGCTGCGTGCCAGCACGCCCGACCTGTGCTGGCGGGTCGTTGATTGGAGCGACGAATTCGCGCCGTTCGTATTTGGAGCGGATCCAGTCCTCCTTCTCCGCCCTGCAGGAATGTTTGTGCGTGCGTGTGTGTGTGTGTGTGTGTGTGTGTGTGTGTGTGTGTGTGTGTGTGTGTGTGTGTGTGTGTGTGTGTATGTGTAGTTGCGGCAAAGCATGATGGCAGATACGCTTGTCATGGCATGAACATCGGATATTGCGTACGCAGATGAGACGGACGACGGCTTCGTGCGGCCGGCGATGTTATGCTCATAGATGTGATTCGCTGGACAGAGGACGTCAAGGTTTGTGTTGTGTTGTGTGTTGTGTGTGAGTGAGTGTGTGTGTGTGTGTGTGTTAAGCGAGAGCAAAAAGGGGGGAACAAGGCAAGGTTGCGTGAGCTTGGAAAAGAATGTATGCACTGCATCCACAGATGTCAACAAGCAACGCAACACAACCCCGCGCCCCTTTGTCCTGACTCACCAGTTGTGTTTCCGATGTTGAGGATGATGGCGAGTTGGTGCGGGCTCCAATCGTCCAATTCAAGCGACCGCACGCGCGATATGTGCACACCTGACGATGATGAGTGATGTGGTGGTGTGGTGGAGACAATGGTGGCAGTGGATGTGGAGACAGTGGTGGAGGTGATGATGCGTGAGCAAGTGATGTGACGACAGTAGAGGCAGTGCAACAACCGCGCACCAATGCAACCATCACCACCGCCACCACTGTGACGAGCACGTGTGCCGGGAGCGCACCCATTTTCCTGTGGACGCCGGAACAGTCGATGCAGACGACGACACCAAAGTTGAGCGACGCCCACGTCGGCGCAGCGGCCCCGCAGTCCGCACACTCCAGATTGCCATCAACAGCCTGCAGGGCGAGGCGGGGGAGCGAAGGGGATTGTGTTGGTGGGTGGGGGAGACGGTGAGTGAGACAGGAGGTGGTGTTGTTTTTGGTCAGCGCGCACGCGTTCCTTCTCACACATACACACGACAAGGCAAGATAACAACACACCACAACACACCACAACACAACACCACACCACCAACACTACACCACCACCAACACAACACCATCACCACGTACGCGAATGGCGGCGAGGTCCTCCTGGCTGAGCATGCGGTAGGACGACGCGTCAATGGAGACGTTGTTCTTCGCCCCGCCGCTCGCGTTGCGGTTCAGACACGCGTGTATTTCCTGCTCAATCGCCCGCATCCTGCAGGAACGCATAGAAGGAATGCGTGGGTGAAGTTCGGAAAACGGGGAGAGGGGTAGGGATGGGTTGGAAGGGGGGGGGGTGAGTGGAGTTGGACGGAGAACTGAGATCACACAAGACTACAGCAATGCAGACGCACGCATCACACGATGAAAATTCCAATCTCTCAGCCACACACACACACACGCACACAGCACACACGCACGCACACACACACGCACGCACCACTCTGTCCTGTCCTGTTCGGACTTTGCCTCAAAGGACCACGTGCGGCCGTCGAGCGAGACGACGGAAAAGGGGAAGCGCTCGCCACCGCTGCGCTGCGGGGTGGACTTGGACACCGACGTGGCCGACCGAGGGCGCATCGGCATCTTCACAGTCACCCGCTGCAGAGGTGTGTGCGTGTGTGTTTGTGTGTTTGTGAGTGTTTGTGTGTGTATGCGTGTTTGTGTGTGTGTGTGTGTGTGTGTGTGTGTGTGTGTGTTGTGTGTGTGTGTGTGTGTGTGTTGTGTGAGTGAGTGAGTGTGTGTGTGTGTGTTTGTGTGTGTGTGTGTGTGTGTTTGTGTGAGTGAGTGAGTGAGTGAATGTGTGTGTGCGTGCGCGCGCACGAATGGTGGTTGCCATTGTGGGATCATGACAAAGGATGAATGCTCGAAGACCTTTCAAGGCCGTTGAGCGAGCATGATGCACAATGCACAATGCACAATGCACAATGCACAATGCACATCAACTTCCATCAAAGACACCAGCGGTAGCCCGGGATGATTGCTTACCGAGAGGTCAATGTGTTTGCCATGCGTGTTTGACATGTAATTCTGCAGGCTGGTGTAGTACGTGAGCTGCCCGCTGGTGAGCGCAACCCACCGCTTCGTGCTCCCCTTCACACTCTGCCGCGTCGGCGTCTTCTTCAACATGCCCTGATGTGTGTTGGCAGTGTTGGCAGTGTTGGGAGTGTTAGGGGCGTTAGAGAGCGGGGAAGAAGGGTGAAGGTGAGAGTTGGTGCGACAATGTGCACAGGAAAGAATACAAGCGCGCAGCACACATCATCGTGCTGCCAGCATCATCACCACCATCACCACCAGCACCTGCTTGAGCGGGATGGAGCGCCCGGGGCCAATGCCGCTAACAACGTCCTTCCCCTGAGATGAGAGTTTGAAGACGGTTGGGGGGAGAAGAGATTGGTGAGGGCGACAGGCGTTTGGGAGGAGACGTGCTTGTAACACAGGGAAGTTGAAGCTTACATGACACACACAAACACACACACGCACATCAACAGCAAAATGAACACACAACACGCACGCATACACACGCACGCACACACACGCACGCAAACACACGCACGCATACACACGCGCGCGCGCAAACACACACATGCACGCGTTGCACCTTTGCGGTTGGGCTCTTGGCGTGCATGTGACCAAGCTTGAGTTCCTGTGTCGTCATCTTCCCAACGCGGCCCTCCGGGTTTTGTGGAACAACAAACTCAACCACGTAGTGCACAATGTCGTGGAACAGCCGGTCCACACGCTCCCCAGTGAACGGATTCACCTGGCGTTGACGTGTTGGGGGGGGGAGGGTGAGTGAGTGAGTGCAAGAGAGAGAGAGAGAGAGAGAGAGAGAGAGAGAGAGAGAGAAAGTGAGGGTGAGAGCGTGTGTGTATGTGTGTGTGTGAAAGAGGTGAAGGGTTGTGTTTCGTGTTACAGCATGGAAACATACCACGTGCAAGCCAGTCGCAGACACACACACACGCACACACATGCATACCAACACGACAGCAAACGTGCACACTGCAAGCAGACACCTATCCACGGGCGAACCTGTGTGAAGAAGAGGCAGTGGTCGACCTCGTTTGCCAGCGCCGTACCGTCCTCCTCTGAGAGCCGCGGCTGCACATCAGCATCATGGTGGCGGTGTTGGAGTGGAGTGTGAACATGATGTCATGAAAGCGTATGACACGCGTGATGGCAGCTGCTAACCTCATCAACACATCGCCCAGTGCACCATCGCCACCATTCACCAACCATTCCCTCGTTTCCTTCTCGACATAACATTCACATGCGCACAAAACACACGAGCCCGCGAGCCCACTGCAGCCTATCATGGTGGTGGGGGTAGCAACCTGGTCGTCGCTGAGGCCGGCGACACCGACGATGAGGCTGGGCAGGTCGACGCTGCGGCGGTAGCGTGAAATCTTCCCGCAGATGGGGCGCACCGCTGCACACGGAGTCATGGGGAGGGAGGAGGGATGGAGGTGATGGGGAGGGGTGTGCGGTGAGAAGGGTGGGGAGGAGGTTGGGGACGAGAGGAAGATTGGGGAAGAGAGGAAGGAAGGAGCGATAAGGTGACGGTGATGGTCGTGTGGCAGAGCAATGGGAGGAGCAGTTCGTATCAGGCCCGCTCACCATCAAGGCTCTCCTGGGATGTCACGTCAAACAGCACGATAAACGCGTCCGCCCACGCCAACACCTGGAAGCGAAACACAGCGACAAGGGCATGATTGGAATGGATGGGGTGAGTGGACGAGATTAACGTGCTGCAGAAGCAACTGAGCTGCAAAGTTAGGACAGCCCACAGCACAAGCCTCGCTCACAACCGCAGGCACACAGCGCAAGCACACGCACACACACACACACACACACAAGCACAAACACAAACACAAACACATACAAGCACAAACACAAACACAAACACATACAAGCACAAACACAAACACAAACACATACAAGCACACCTGTGGGCTTGGGTCTCCCGTGGTTGTGCGCAGAAGCAAAGTTTTCATGCCGCCGTGGCAAGGGACGACGGTGCGGTGCTTCTTGCCGAAGCTCTGGCCCTTGGGCGCCTTGATGCCCGTGATCAGCTCCATGGGGCTCTTGTGGTGGCCTTCGCCGTTTGCAGACCCGCACAAGAACTTGTTCAGCACTTCCTGCTGCCCCGACATGGGCAGACCCAAAACCGCCTGTGTGCATGTTGATATAGAAGCAGAGATGGCGGTGATGGCAGTGATGGTGAGGGATGGTGACAAGGAGCGGTGGTCGAGAGAGAGGGAGAGGGATAGCACAGCGAGAGGACAGCGGGGGCACTTGACGCAGCTAAACAAGAAGAGAGCACACACACACACCAGTTTCAAGACGGATTCCCCCGGTGCTACTTTGGCCCAGTCATCCGTGTCGAAGATGGACTCTACGCACATGGCACGCCGTGCAAGGTGCAGTAGTGTGAGGTGTGTGTGTGTGTGTGTGTGTGTGTGTGTGTGTGTGTGTGTGTGTGTGTGTGTGTGCGTGTGTGTGTGTGTGTGTGTGTATGTGTGTGTGTGTGTGTGATGGATGGATCATTGGCAATGTCAATCACTCAGGCGATGTCAATCACTCAGGCAATGTCAATCACGCATGTTAGACCGCAGCAAAACGCACAACTGCACACGCGCACCTTCCAAGTTTTGCACTTTTTGCAGAATGGCATCCCTCAAGGACTTGTCCTCCACACCCTGCACTTCATGCACCAGCTCTGCCAGGCATGCCCGCACACTGTCCACTCGGCTCCCAGACAGCATGCTTGCTTGCTTGTCGTGCTGGTTGGTGTGGTGTTGTGGTGTGGTGGTGTTGTGGTTTGTCGTCGTCGTTGTTTGCGGCACAGCCAATCCGGACGATTAGGTGAAATTTTCAACCAAATTTCTTCACTGTCAACTTTGACGTGGCTGCCACTCCTTTGTGCTGTCGTCGGAAACACAAACAAAACGCCTGCTGCTTGTTTTCTTGTTTTCCCCCACCGCCACCGACCACTGCCACAACCACTGTCAAAAAGATGAGCGCTGGTGAGGACAAGGTAAAGGCGAAGCTGCGCGAGCTTGGCACGCGCTCGCAGGATGAGCAGGCCAACTTCTTTGTGCGCGCCTTTGGCAACAGCATCTCCCCAACAGAGGTCGCCGCGGTTGCAAAGCAGTTTGACGCCATCACCGGCAAGCAAAAGGCCAAGGAAATAGAAGAACCACAGGCGCTCAAGTCAGTGTCCGTGTGTGTCTTGTGTGTATGTGTGTGTTGATGTGCGTGTGCGTGTGTGCGTGTGCGTGTGTGCGTGTGCGTGTGTGGCGTTTGGTGTACATTATGCTGTGTTGTTGAATGCGTCAAGTGTGAAGCACCACCTGTCGTTGCACACACACACACACACACGTTTGCACACACGTTCACACACACACGCACAACAGGCTGCTGACGGAGGAAGGGCGCACGCTGACGCTGGTGGAGTTTCGAAAGGCGTTTAGGTCCATTGACGTGGACTGCAACGGCCGGCTCTCCCTCACAGAGTTTCTCCTCTTCAAATACAACAAGCGCGCACCGGAGGTATGTTGGCATGGTGCAGAGTACAGAAGAGTGGGGAGGGGGGTGAAGGGGAGGGTGTGTGAAATGGTGTGTGAGCTTGTGCCTTTTCATGTACCATTTATCTACGCCATGCGCGCACTCCCATATTCTCACAATCACGCACACACATACGCAATCCCCCCCCCACACACACACACACGCACTCTCCCCCCCCCCCACACACACACACACGCAATCACGCACGCTTGCAGCTCTTCCAGGACCGCGGCGAGAACGACCTTGTGGCCCAGCTGGACAAGGCGGAGCAGCTGGAAGAACACATGGCCGCGCTCAAGCTGCAGCGCGAGAACAAGATCAAGGAGCTGCAGGAACGCATCGCCATCGGCGGCGTGAAGGGCATGCGCGCCAAGCACGAGCTCGAGGCCCTCCTCGCCTCCGACGACTCGCAGCTCAAGGAGCAGGAAATGCACGCGCGCTCCATCAAGCAGCGTGCGGAGAAGGCCGTCACAGACCACGACCCCTTTGAGGCGCAGAAGCAGGCGCTCAAGAACGAGGAGGAGCAGCGCAAGCGGGAGGAGATGGCCCGCCGCAAGCAGTCCGCAGAGAGGCTCAGGGCAAAGGGCGCGGCGTTTGGGCTGTGAGAGCAGTGGAGGGGCTGGATGGAGAAGGTGATGTGTGGAGGGTGGGTGGGTGGGGAAAGGTGAGGAAGGGACGAGGAGCTGTTGATTGCTCTGTGTGGGGGGGGGTTGTTATCTTTTGTCTTCCATCGTATCGTCCAATACAACACAATGATGACGTCATACGAACCTCGGTGTACACCCTTCTTCGATTTTTGCAATTTCATCCATGATTTGTCGTCCACGTTTTCACGCGTATTTCCCTTTTTCGCGTGTGCCCATGCAACCTCCTGTCGTAACTGCTCGTGGGCAGTCCTCATTTCAGTCATTTCACAACACGCCCGCCACGCGCAAGACGGCACGTGGCCAGAAGCACGTGGACTAATGTACTGTGTCGACTGACTGACTGTCGTGGACCAGAAAGAGCAAGTAGCGAAGATGCCTTGTCGAGAGGGCTCATTTTCTCGAGCAGCTCAACAACAGAACAACGGCTACAGCTAGACAGCTACTCTCTCTCTCTTTCTCACGCACGCACACACACACACACACACACACACACACTCTCTCTCTCTCTCTCTCTCAGCCTCCCACTGGTTCCAGCACAGCCACCACACTGACAGCCAATACGAATCGACAATACCGTTGACCACAAGCATGAGTTCATCGCCAGAGGTCCTTGCGCTGCCAGGCGGCCAGCCCCCGCCCATCTATGTTCCTCAGCACCCGTTTCATGTTGCGTGTGCCCTGCCGAAAGCGAGGCGGAAGCCTGTGCGCGTGCACTTGCAGAAGTATCCCGACGACATAAACGTCCCAGAGGATGCCCCAACGGTGTGAATGAGTGTGCATTTGTGTGTATGTGTGGGTGTGAGTGTGTGCGAGTGCATGTGAGTGTGTGTGATTGTAAGTGTACAATGCGTGTTTGTCTTCCTCTTCGTGCACAAGTGGACGTGTGGCTTTGTGTGCTCCAAACCGTGAGCACTCAAAGTACTCCGCTTCCACCTGCCCCCTTGTATCCCTGTCTCATGTCTGCACCGGCACTCCCCTTTCTGTACACGATGCTTTATAGAAGTACACGCCTCTTCACTTTGCGTGCATGAGCGGCGACCTTAAGTTGGTCAAATTTCTCATCAAACGCGGGGCGCACATTCGAGCCGGCGACTACTTGGTGCGTTTCTGTCTCGCTATCTCAGCACCATGGCCAGTACTCTCACTTGTCGTGTGTGGGTGTGTTCACCGGCACTGCCACCAACACAACGTTTCCCAGCACCACCCCCTCCACTGCCACCTCCTCATCATCACTGTCTGCTGCGCATTGGTCCTCCATACTTTAACACATTCTGCAGGACCGAACACCAGCAGACATTGCGATCATGTACCACCACAAGCGGATTGCCTTGTACTTGCTCACCTTGGAGCGGGAGGGGCTGACAGCTGAGTGAGGATCACGCTTGGGCGCCAATCTGCAAGCACGCTTTTCCAAGGCACATGGCTCGCGGCCACATCGTGCCCCTGCGTGTGTCGATGCTCTTCGACACAACTCTCTTGTTTCGTTGTTTTGTGTGTGTGTGTGTGTGTGTGTGTGTGTGCATGCATCTCTCTGTCTAGGTCTGTGTGCATGCGTGCGTCTGTCTTCCCCGTCCTATTTGAAACTGTGTTCGTCACCACACTGGCTCGTATGTATTTCGGCTGCCTGCTCTTGTAAGGGGCGTATAATCGCAGATTACGTGCACGAACAGCTAGTAAACGACAAAGGCTATCGATTTGCACACGAAGCAAATGGTTAAGGCAACAGCAAACACTGGCAAGGCTCAGAAGGCTAGGCAAGGGGTCACATACATGTCATCTAGGTCACAAGGCATTAGCAACAGCAACAAAAGCCACGAGAGAGCGTCAGCACACGTCTTCCGTGTAGGCAGTCAAGGTAGGTCGGGAAGGGTCATGAGTGGTCCCGTGTAGGGTTGAGGGTGGGATGCGGTCGTGTCGCGTGTTGTTCACGAGGTCAGGAGTTGGCAGAGAAGATCGGCACGCTCCTCTCCAGTCTCAATGGCGCCCTACACGTATATGCATGTGTGTGTGCATGTGCGTGTGCATATGTGTGTTTGTATGCGTGTACATGTGTGTGTGTGTGCATGTGCGTGCGTATGTATGCACGTGTGCGCGTGCGTGAGGTGGACACCTGGGCAGCAATGCGTACGTCACCACACAAGTGCCCTACGGTATCACTCCCATGAACACACACACACACACATGAAACTGTGACACCACCATGCCATCACCAAGTTCCCCTCTTTCTTCCTCCCCTCACCCCCGCTCTCAAACAGCACCTGCATGGACACGTCGAGGTGCACGCTCGTCGCCTCGCCAGCAAAGTGGAGGCGCCCCGTGCTCTTGGCGAGACGCCGGCGGTCCGCGCACGTGCTCGTGGGGGCGGTGTACCTGAAGTTGGGAGAGGGCCGGGGAGTGTATGAATGGCTGCGTTTGCTGGCCGCAGATCGGACGTCGCAGCGTGACCCAAGCAGACAGATGGACAGACTCACAGACACGCAGACAGACGCACGCATAAACACGCAGACAGACGCACGCGCGCGCGCACACACACACACATACACAGAGACACGTACCCGCAGTGCACGTATGGGGCGGATCCCCAGTCGAAGAAGAGCGCACGTGTGCACACAATGTCTTCACGGGGAAACATCTCGTGCAGCTGCTGTAACAGCGCCCTGGCGTGGACCACGCACAAATCGCGGCACGACAACACGGGGGTGAACACGACACACACAAACGCAGCACAGGGGCGCACGTGTGCATCTGAGTCGAGCAGCTGTGCCACAAACAAACAAACTAACAAACAAACGAAGCAAATCAGAACAAGCAACAACACAACACAGCAAAGCCAGCAGCACAACAGCATCAGCAGCAGTTTCGTACGTGACGGCGGCGCGCTGCCAGAGGATGAGGCCGTCCCAACAGTCTGCAGCGAACGACCCAGGCATGGCCGCATCTGACGGGGAGTTGGACACAAGGGAGGATGGAGGTGTATGTGTGAGGTGGTGAATGAAGCATGGCACGGACAGACAGGCAAACGTACACACTCACACACACACACACACACACACAGACACAGGCACAGACACAGGCACAGACACAGACACAAAGCATGGTCACGCACCAGTTCCATCGAGCTGCAGCAAGCGCTGTCGCCAGCGGGCGGGGACGAAGCACGTCATCACGGGCACGCCGTCCTGGTGGTTGTGGCGACGTTATTGTTCGCAAAAGTGATGCACACAGGTACACATAGGTACACATAGGTACACATAGGAACACACACATGCGTGCACACAGGTACACACACCCACACACAGACACACACAGACACACAGACACACTATGGCAGTCCAAGTCCAACATTCATACCTGGTGGGCCCACATTTCTGGAGCAGGCCCTTCTGGCGTGTTGAACGAGTGCTCATTGCCCCAAAACGTCGTTTCAAAACGCAGGAAGACCTTCATGAGCGGTCCTGCCTGGACGGCGGCGATTGCATTCTGTTTCCACGCCGGGAGCGGTGGATCAAACGCAATCAAACCACGCTGCAACACAGCAACGGAGCACGTCAGCAACACGTGCTTCGCCCGAAACACAACTTCCTGCTGCTTCTGCTGCTGCTGCTGCTGCTGTTGGTGCTGCTCGTGATCTTGCTTCTGTGTCTGTTCCATGTGTTGGTGCTGCTGGACATATGGCATGGTCAAGGCTGCCGTCACCACAGCGCCCCGCTTATCAACGTGATCCTCCACACGCGTCACGGCATGCCCTGTTATCACAGCACAATGCGCGAGCGTGTGAATGAGTTTGCACACGAGCCGTGCGTGTGTTTTCAATGCAAATGAAGGTCAGTATTTCCACACCACCATTCCTCATGACACGCACACACACACACACACACACACACACACACACACACACACACACACACACACACACACACACACACACACACTGCCTTGGCATCAAGCCCACCAGGACTCGCATCAACCGGCCCCGTTCCCCTTCCACACACCTCCACGCCTTCGTGTGTCCTCTCACCGCATCGCACGTCGAGGCCGTGGGCGAGCGAGCGCACATACGCGTCGTCAGCCGGCATCCAGAAGTCCTCACACCCGTGCGGCCAATCTAAGAAAGCGGGAAGGATAGGAACACAAGATGCAAGATACACACAAAAGGCGTGACCACTCTAAGAAGCAAATTTCAAGGGACAGCACGCACATCCAAACACACCCACACGCACTGTCTGCGCACTTCTTCTCAGCCCATTCTTAGTCTACACCCTCCCACACACCCAGCGTCCTCCACCCCACCCGCACCTCGCTCTGCAATGCTGCAGTCCAGCGCACGCGTGGTGGTGAGGTCGCAGTTGCGGTCTGAGCACAGCAGCGCTTCCACGATGCGCGTGGCGCGGTCGTTCAGCCCAAGCCCCGCAAGGTGCGTGGACAGCAGCTGGGTCACGTCTGTGCTGTGGCGCTGCTCCTCCGCCAGCATCGGCAGCGCATCCAGTGCATCCAGTGCCGCATTTACGTCCGCATCATCCACGGCCGCCGTCAGATCAACAAAGCCTGCGCGTGAGTGAATGTGTGTGAGTGAGTATGTGAGTGGGCAGAAGAGCTTGGGCGTGGGTGTGTGTACGTGAGCGTACATGAGCGTGTGTAAGTGAGCGTGTGGAGACATCAAGATGCTGACAATTTGGATCACGCAACTGAACGTGTGTGGCATGCGTGCATCTAACCTGATTCCTTCGTGTACAGCGTGTGTGGGTAGGTCTCGGCAACGAGGTTGTAGCCATGCTCCTTGTGCCACTTGTAAGCAAACGTGTTTGCTCCGTGGATGAACTGTGCTCCAAACTGCAGCTTACCAAACCCCTCCACCTCTGTGCGTGCGTGTGTGTGTGTGCGTGTGTGCTTGCGTGAGAGAGGCTCTGTCTGTGTACATATGTGCACAAAAGTGCACATGATGTGTACAAAAGTGCACATGATGTGTACATAATGTGTGCGCATCGCTGAAGTTCCTGGCATGCAACGAGCAGCAATCACAGGCTTCCACTCCATCGCCACAGCGGGGTACCTCGAGGACAGAGACGCCCTCCGGGCTGATCTTGTGCCTCTAGCACGACACACTTGATGCCCCTGCAATCGTGGTTGTGGATGAGGAACGCAAAGCTTGAGCAGCAACCGAGCGTGACCAGCAGCGTGGCCATCGCCAAGCACCACCATCGACTGTCCACGCTCCACACCCCCAACAGCCATAGCCAAGGCACGCTCCCTCCCTTGATAGACAAGCAAGCAAGCAAGCAAGGCGCAGCCACGACACACACACACACACACACACACTCGCGCAACGGACCTGTCTGCAAGACGGCGCGCAGCGGCAAGCCCGCTCACGCCCGCGCCAACGACCACCACATCAACCTCAACCTCAGCACGTTCCATGATGGTCCGAAATTTATGAACAACATTCACCAATCGCCCAAACTTGAATTGCCGCGAAGCGTGTTGGGTTTTCGCAACGAACGAACGGTTTGTGTATGTGTGTGTGTGTGTGTGTGTGTGTGTGTGTGTGTGTGTGTGTGTGTAATGTGTGTGGGTGTGTCTGTGTGTTTGTGTGTGTGTGTCTGTGTGTTTGTTTGCGTTTGTGTGTGTTTGTGTGTGTGTGTGTCTGTGTGTTTGTTTGCGTTTGTGTGTGTTTGTGTGTGCGCACGCGACTGCGTACCCGTGAACTGATGCGTCAGGGTGTGTTTGTTTATTTGGTTGTTTGTGCATCCTTGTGCGTCCCCCTTGCACACGTCCTTCGTGCATGCCACTGACCGCTCGCCACACACAATCACCCACCCACAATCACCCACGCTCACCCGCGATCACAACATGCAGGCACGACGCATGGAGTGGGTGGCGCAGCGACCGTACCTCCACGGAGGCACGTGGGAGGTGAGCGACACCGCGGTCAGCGAGCCGCAGCAATCGCAGCGTCTGAAAGAGCGACAACAGCAGGAGAAGGAAGAGGATGCTGCCAGTTTAGCCCGGGATGCGCAGGAGCACGAGCGAGAGCTGTTCCAGCAGCAACTGCAGAGCAGGAGCCACCAGCTCATGGCTGGTGCGGAAGCATTCCCAGTTGAACTGGAAGTCGAAGAGGAAGCAGAAGAGGTGACAGGGGACGAGCAGGCACAGCAGGCATCCACGTCATTATATGACGACGACTTTTTGCAGGCCATACAGGACCTGAGCTTGACTGTGCACGTGCCGGAGCCGTCGGCCGCAGTACCGGAGCCCTCGTATGACCTTCCCCTGCAAGTTTGCGAGCGTGCGCTCCAGCGGCTACGCGCCGTTCGTCCACAGCTTCAGTCGCCTTCCTCCGTGAGTGTATCGTTCACATGCAACCATGTGTGTTGTTGTTGTGTGTGTGTGTGTTTGTATGCACTTGTGCGTGCTTTTGTGTGTGTGTGTGCTTTTGTGTGCTTGTGTGTGAGTGTGTGGTTTTGTGTGCTTTTGTGCGTGCTTTTGTGCGTGCTTGTACATGTGTGTACGCTTGCAGTTCACGTTGAAATACCAAATTCCTCCTTCATTCTCACCTGCAGCAGCAAGAGCTGGATCAGACAGTCAAGAACTTGCAGGCACAAGTAGCGGCAGCTCCCAAGATGGGGCGAGGTGCGTTGACGTCGAATTGGATTGTGTTGCGGATGTGTATTGAAGTTGTTTGCAAGTGCACTTGAGTGCTGTCGCTCATGTCTGCGACCTCCGAGTTCACTCATTGACACATACACACACACACATACACACACACTTACCCACACATACAAACACACACATACACACACATACACACATACACACACGCTATCTCTGACTCTTTACACCCCCCCCTTCCCCATCCCCCCGTCTGAGCGCGTGCAGGCCAGGCGGCGGCTGCGCTCAGTCGCGTGAGTGCCGACATTACATCTGCTACGGAGCAGTTTGCAGCCCGCGCCCAGCAGGAGCAGGAAGCGTACGTGTGTTGTGCATGCGCGCGTTTGTGTTTGTGTGTGTGTGCTTATGTGCTGGTGTGTTTGTGAGCGTGTGAGCGTATGCGTGTGTGAGCGTATGCGTGTGTGCTTTTGTGGATGCGTACTCGTGTGTGAGTGCTGGTTGTGTTCCACTGACAGCAACAAGACTCTCACATTCCACCCTTGCTGTTGACGACTCGACAGGGAGAAGCAACGCCAGTTACAGAAGCAAAAAGAGGAGGAAGAGAGGAGGAGGAAACAGCAGGAGCTGCTGGAGCAGCAGAAACGCCAGCAGCAAGAAGAGGAAAAGAAGAAAAGGGAGCAGGAGGCTTTGTTGAAGCAACAACAACAACAACAACAACAACAACAACAACAACAACAACAACAACAACAACAACAACAACAACAACAACAACAACAACAACAACAACAACAACAACAACAACAACGACAACGACAACAGCCATCAGGGGCGCGTCTGTCTCCAACGGCAGCAGCAAAGGAGCACTACGAGAGCACAACAAAGGTGCACACACGCACGCACGCACACTTTGATTGCGTTGCGTGCCTTTGGTATTGGTGGTGCTACCATACATCTTCATGCAGCTCCTGCTTACATCGCTTTATTTCCCTCGCGCGCCTGCTCTTCAGATTGCGTCAAAGTTCCTGCCCATGATGCAAGAGGCCGACAGCAACGCTGACGTGAGTGCTGTGTGGGCAAATGCGTCGTGGCCTGACTTTGAGTGACCATGCATGTACATGCAATGACATTGCGCTCCTTTCTTCTTCTGCGGCTCTCACTTGCACCTCTTCTTTCAACCACCAGCCATGAATTCCTCCACCATGCTACTCACCCCTCTACCCAACCCACGTGCTCGTGCCTGCATGCAAAACAGCTTGCGTGCATTCGCAAGGCAGTCACAGACATCTTTAACAAACTCCAGTTCTCCCAGCAGGAGGTGCGCACAGTGTGTGTGTGTATGTACATGTGTGCCACAAAAGAGATGCTTGTTGCTTGTTCTACCTTACTTACAGACAGCTTCATCCTTCCCCCTCATACGCCCCTCTCATCCACCCTGCCCCTCTCCCTCCCCCAATTCACCCTCTCCCACCACCAACCACGTGCCACCCCCCTGCAGCTGCTGAAGTATGCCGGGTTTGCGTATCTGCTGGTGCGCATTGCGGACGATGCGAGCACGCCGCCGGAGCAGGTGCAGGGCCGGCGGTTACAGCAGACGGTGGCGGCACTCAAGACGGGGCAGCTGCAGGCTGCGCTACAGGGGCGCACCATTGGCAAGAAGAAGTACAACTTCCTCCCCGTCTACATCCTCTACTGCATCGCCCTCAGGCTCGTGGTGCGTTGTGTGTGTGTGTGTGTGTGTGTGTGTTTGTGTGTGTAACTGTGACACGTGTGAAAGCGCTCACCTCACCACCTCCAACAACAACACCACCACCACCACCAACATTCTACCCACCCTCCCTCGTCTCCTCTGTCAGGAAAAAGCTGGGCTGGCGCGTGCAGACCCAAAGGGTGTGAGCGATCCCGTGTACAAGATGGCGTTCTTTACGCACGCGCTCTGGCGAAAACTCAAGGACATCCGGCTCGATCGTCCGCTCAAGGAATTCGTGTTTGGCCTGTTCTTCCTCCACGTGAGTTGCTTTCGATGGTGGTGGTTGTTGGTGATCGTGGCGGTACTTGTGGTGGTGACAGGCGCCTCTTGATGGCGGTAGCGGTGGTGGCTGAAACAGTGCACAAGGGCACCGAGCGCAACGAGGTGACGTGTCGCTGGCAGCTTGCAACCTCACGACCACACACTTACTTTAACCCCCCCCCCCTCCCCACACACACACGCCAGTTCCCGAGCCTGTCTGGCCACCTGCCCGCCAAGGCGCCTGGGCAGACCACGGGGGAATATTTGTCCACTACGCTCAACTACGACCAGACTGCGGGGCCAGACGCGTATTTCCAGCGCCTGGAGTCCACATGCCGGTGCTTTGCCGTTCTCCAGTGCATGCAGGTCGACGGCCAGCCAAACGAGTACACAGGTACGTGCCACAAGTGTGTGAGATGTGTGAATGTGTGTGTGAAGTGTGAGTGCACGTGTGCGCGCGCCATTACTATTGCACCTACCCACGAGGATGTACACACGTCTCCGCGCCCATACCCGCCCCTACTCATGCTGACGTCAACCCCCGTTTCCATTCGCTGCAGGGGCGCACGTGTTGTGGAAGTGCTGTGCTTGCATCATGAACAGAAATGTATCGCAGGACCTCAATTCCCTGTTCTTCCCAACAACAGCGGCCGCCCTTGTGCTGGTATGTCTCGCGCGCTTGCGTATGTGTGTGTGTGCATGTGTGCGTGTCAACATGCGTGCGTTCATGTGTGTCAACGTGTGTGCAAACAACAGCCACGCCTCCCCTTAAATTCATGCTCGCACGCCCTTTGTCTCACACTGGCTACTGTTTCCACACCTTCCCTTCACCCCCCCCCCGGACACACACCACCTCCACTCAGTCTGGTGGCTGGCACCTGAAGGCCGTGTACAAAGTGCAGTTCCTCAAACTCCTCCTCTTCCTCGCTGAGGACTACCTGCCCCGCACACTCGCAGCCATCGCCTCCCTCTCAGACGACGGCAGCGGTGGCGGTGGTGGTGATTCGTTCAGTGCCGTGCGGCGACAGGCCAACTTCTATCTCTCGCAGGCGCGGGAAGCGCTGGAGCAAGGGCTGCCCCGCCCAGCCGCATTTGACATCCCGCTCACAGAGTGACGCGTGTTAGTGATGGTGGTGGTGCTCGTTGTCGTGGTGAGGGTGGTGGTGGTGGTAGAGGCTATTGTAGCAGATTGGTGGTGTGGCAGTTTGCAGTTGTTGCCACTGCAGCTTGTTGTTGTGCATGTGTTGTTGTTGTGGGAGGTCTGTGCGATGCTTGAGAGTACATGCGTTGTGCACGAGCTAGCACACACACTCTCTGCTTGCTGTGCTACACGTCAACCCCAATTGCAGTTGTGCGTGCGTGTAATAATTGAAATCGGGCACTGGCAGATACCGTTTGCATCTCGTTTGCATTGCGTTTGTGTTCGCACGTTTACTTTGAGCGCGACACGTGTTTGCACCAGGCCATGGTGATGAACAAGAAATAAATAAGCAACCTCTTTCCATCGACCTTGAACTCAACAAAGGAAGAAGAAAATGAAAGAATGAAAGAAAATGAATAAATGTAAACCCAAAGTAGGAGCTCCTCACACACACACACACACACACACACACACACACACACACGCACACACACACACACACACACACACACACGCACACAGAGCAATTGCCATGCCCTTCGCGTCATCAGGCGTTCATCTTCCACCATCTCGTCAGCACTCAGCACCACGGCCAGACATCACACGTCCACCTCATCCAGCACGTCAAACGTGTTTGAGTGCTGCGTGGGTTCCGCCATCTGCAGCTCAAACGAGACGCTTCCGTCCACAATCGAGACGGTGCTGCCGTCGTTGTTGTTGGCGTTTGGCTTCAGCGTCTGTCCATCAGAGCTGCGCAGGTAGCTCAGCCCCACGATGACAATGCACACAATGAAGGAGACGCCAGCAGTCACACCGGCAACCACACGCGACTTGCTCTTCGACTCGGCGCCACTCGTGCCGTTGATGGCCGTGGACGTCGTGGAGATGACGGTCGTGCTGCCCACGACAGCGGGCGTGGTTGTTGTTGTTGCAGTTGTAGTTGTAGTTGTTGTAGTTGTAGTTGTTGTTGTTGTCGTTGTTGTTGTTGTTGTTGTTGTTGTTGTTGTTGTTGTTGTTGTTGTTGTTGTTGTTGTTGTTGTCGTTGTAGTTGTTGCCATGTTCACTGCCACGCTGCCGCTCTGTGCGGTCTGCACCGTCTTGCCCGTTTCTTCCTCCACCACCTCCGTCATTGTGCCGTTGGTGGCCACCGTGTTGGCCGTCTGCACCACATCCTCCGCCTCCTCATCGTCCGCCGTGTACTCCACAACCACGATGAACCCGCTGTCCACAGCGCGGCGACTGACAGCCTCAATGCGCACGTCAATCTGGTCGGCCCTGAACTGCGGCAGCCTGGCCAGCAGCCGCAGCTTGATGGCGGTGGTGTTGACCTGGGACGCGTTGACGCCGGTCACCACAAACCGCTGCGTGACAATGACCTGCGCGGCCGCATCGTACCGCTCCACGGACTCAACGCTGCAGTTGCTGAATGAAAACGCGTTGAACATCGCGCACGTGGACAGGCGAGCAATGTCCTGGGCATTTGTGTGTGTACATTTGTTTGGTTGAGGACGTGTGAGTGGGTTAATGATTGAGTGTAAGTGTGTTCATGTGCGTGTGCATATCTATGTGTGCACTTGTGTGCATACATGTGGGTGTACGCATTTTCTCGCGTGTGTGCGTCTGAGCGCGCATGTGGGACTCCAAACACGTGATCAAGACGGAACACAACAATCAACCATGCCCATCTCGTTCTCACTTGACATACGTTTGGTTTGAGGACAGAGACAACAAACGTGCTGTTGTCCAGAACGGTCAGATCGGTGCCGGTGTCCGCCTTAACGTGGCATTGCTAAGAATGTGCACACAAATGCAATATATGTGCATGCGTACGTGTGAATGTGATGTCAGTCGCATACGACAGCTTGCATGATGAGCTTGTTGTACACTCCGAACACATACACAAGCGGAAAGGCTGCAACATACACACACAAACACAGACGCAAATACGTACGCACACACACACACACACACACACACACACAGCTCACCAGTGGAGAGCCGTTGCAATCCTCGGCGAGTGATGTTTTGAAACTTGTGGCGAAATCGTCCAGCTGTGCGCTGTTCAGCGCCTCCATGTGTTGCCCATGATCGCACATCACTTGGATCATGGCCTGAATGCGGAAGTTCCCCTGGCCACACTCGTCAAACGCAAGACAGCTGTCGTCTTCACCAGCGTTTGTCTCGCACTCGTACACCTCCATGCACGACAGGCCTGTGATGTGGGCATTGCGGAACAAACCCGAACGTGTCATGTGCAAAGTGAGCGCGCAAAGAATTGCAAGACAGATGCCCTCGATACGATTGCACCATGGACGCGAGCAACCGCAACATCGACCACACACACACACACACAGACACAGACACAGACACAGACACAGACAGGCACACACACACACACACACACACACACACACACACACACACACACACACTGTTGACATCATTACAGCTGCACCGTCCAACGACAGGAAGAGCAACATCAGCAGTCAACAACACACCTTCAGGGTCGTGGCATTCCTCCAGGCGGAAGCAGTCGCAGCCGCCACCCAGATTGCACGCCGTCTTCCGAACGCCAGTAGCGACGCCCGCAAAGAGAAGGAACCCGCGGGCAGCGGGGGTGGAGCGCGTGCACCCAGGCCACGTCTGCAGGGAAAACGCAGAGAGGGAGCAAGCGCAGTCGAAGGGAAAGAAGTGCAGAGGGATGGGGAAGAGGGTGCGAGGTATGAGCGAGGCAGAGAGGCTGGCGATGGCGCCGGTGTGTCAGTGATAGCGGTGCAGATGTGTCTTTGCTAGGCGAGGTGTGCGCATACAATCACAAGCACAAATGAGCACAAACAGATGTGCACGTGATGACCTGGTTCGCCATGAAATCCGTCGCATTGACAGAATGGAGCAGAGAATACGGCCATGGGGTGGAGGTGGAAGACGTTGTTGTGGTGGTTGTGGTCGTGGTGAAAGGGGGTGTTGTTGTTGTGGTTGTGGTCGTGGTAAAAGGGGGTGTTGTTGTGGTGGTTGTGGTCGTGGTAAAAGGGGGTGTTGTTGTGGTGGTTGTGGTCGTGGTAAAAGGGGGTGTTGTTGTGGTGGTTGTGGTCGTGGTAAAAGGGGGTGTTGTTGTGGTGGTTGTGGTCGTGGTAAAAGCGGGTGTTGTTGTGGTGGTTGTGGTCGTGGTAAAAGGGGGTGTTGTTGTGGTGGTTGTCGTCGTCGTGAAAGGGATGGTGGTTGTAGTTGTAGTTGTGGTTGTAGTTGTAGTTGTAGTGGTTGTAGTAGTAGTAGTAGTAGTTGTTGTTGTTGTTGTTGTTGTTGTTGTTGTTGTTGTTGTTGTTGTTGTACTCGTTGTAGTTGTGGTGGTGGTGGTGGTTGTTGTTGTACTCGTCGTCGTCGTCGTCGTCGTTGTTGTTGTTGTTGTGGTAGTAGTAGTAGTGGTCGTAGTCGTGGTAGTGGTAGTAGTCGTAGTTGTAGTTGTTGTTGTCGTAGTAGTAGT